CATCGAACATCTCAAGGAACAACACTCTATAAGCCGGATGTCCTTTAACTCGGAAACGTAGCAGCTTCCACTCATAGGTAACACGCCACTTAAACAAGGCATAGGCCTAAATTTCACTGATTTCACGTTTGCTTTACATTTCAGGAACACTATGGATAGGAAAATGATAAAGTGGGCCAGTGTCTTATACGATTCATATACCATCGTAACTGAGTGATGTTAATTATTGTTTTAAATTTTCTGATTGTTAATAGCTACAACCTGCAAAATATGTGATATCTGATGCTCATAATGATATATACATCAGAAATATCAAATATATTTTTGTGGTATAATGCAACGATTGTTCATTGGCTATGAGCAAGATAAAAGTAAACAAGGAATACAAGTAAAATAAATGATTCGTAAAGTGGCTTTTAAAGGACAATAAACATACGTTTTCTGATCCCTTTCATGCATTATGGATGATGGTGCACAAAAGAAAAAGAAATATTAAGCATAAAAATAAATAATGAAAAGCACTTGCTGAACATAGCATTCAACTCATTTTTTAATGTTACTGTTAATATCCTGAAACTTGTGAAAGGTTCATTGTTTTGCCTCAAACACTCCCAAATTGAGGAACATTATGGAGAATCATCGTTTGATATATTATGAAAATAACAAATGAAACGTTTTATTAACGGTTCATATGATATGAAACAACATTCAAAATCATTTATTCATTGATTCATAGATTTCATACATTTTATCGAGAATTTTTCCATAACTACATATAGATCGGCTGCTCCTTCTGCCGATAACAAAAGAAAGGGCTTCAGTTTCCTATTTAATTATTCATTAACAAATATAAAGACCTTTTATCTTGTCTTTTTTTTTGGGGGGGGGGGTCATAAGGGGAAAGACACCCAAAATTACATGTAAGAACACATTCACATGTGAACCACATGAGAAATACGCCATAAATTACATTGACAATTGTATACAGAATGATAGATTGAAAAATACATGAATTTGGATGTATTTGGAAATTTTATATATACACAGATACAAAAAAAAATCATTAATAATAAAAAGAAAAAGAAAAAAAAGAGAAGAAAAAAAAGAGAAAATTCTTGCATGTGCGATTTGATACTGTTTTATTAAATTCCATAACTTGAAAAGTGCCTGGAGCAAGATCCCTTATAATCGTGAAGCTTATATTTTTTAACTGCCTTTGTAATCTATCGACCAAGCTCTAACGTTATTTCAACATTTTATTTACATGTGCTTTGAAAAAAAAAATGATGTTGCCATCAATTATGCATGTAGCCTGGGTAAGGCCGATTGTTTACATATGCATGCATGCATAAATAGTGTTATCCAATTTTTATTCGCGTGCGAGAAATATCTGCGAGTTTCGCAACCTAGTTTAAATCGCAAATATTAATCGCCGCGAATCATTTGTTTTGTTTTTGAAGATAATCTTTCTAAGTCCCGAAAATCGTCGAGGATTCATTTCAAACTGATGAATTGCGAAGAAAAGATGACGCGAATAATAATTAGTTTACAGTATCTTAAACCAGAGACAAAAACAAATTTCTTCCTTGTTGATATTTGAAAATTTCATTGATAGTTCAATCATTTAATTCAATAGAACTGTGGAGAAATGTTTTGATGCTACCAAAGCGGGGAAATGCCGTTAATGTGTTAATTCTTAGGAAACGAATGCACGAGGAAAACGACACTGAGCGAGGACAAATTATTCTATCAATGTTAAACAGTCGGCAACAGACTCTTCAGATTTTACAACATGTTGTGTTATGCATGGAAAGGTTGCGATACGTATTTATATTGTTCGGTTTGAAATTCAGATGAAGAGATGCGCAAATGAAATCCAAACCTTCTGTGACCTAGTTAAAGTTGCTAGGGTTATCCTTGTTTGAGTAGCTTCTCTTTACATTTACGAACCAATTTTTTTTCTTTGACCGAAATATCAAAGAAAAGGTTGGCCGGAAGACTTTTACATCAATGCGCTAGGTTTTCCGTCCAAATTTTTGTTTGATACTTCGGTCAAAGAAAAAAAAAAGAATATTACATTCATTTCTTAATTCTGTATTTCGATTCACTGTTGCATATTGAATATTATAATATTCAATATTATATAATTATGGACTTCAGACACAGAAAAGGCTCGGTCGCTATCACTTTCTGTGTCTTCGGTTAATATCAATTGCCATGAGTCCTTATAACCACATATTGACCGTTCACTGAAGTCTATAATAGTTGTATTATATAATCACTCAAAGTGAATGTACTGACACAGTCCTAACTGAACAGACTTGGCTGTCATTACGTCACAATGGTTAAAAACATGCTTCTTATATAATGACGTCACGTTCTACGTAACTTTAATGCAACCGAACGGTGTGCCGTGCGATATCATTTTCCGCGGACGCACTTTCGCGTCGATATCACAAAAGGAGGAATATCACGTGACGTCCTTTCAGCCAATGAAAATTACGAAAATAATCTTATATAATATATTTCAATCATATTCTTGACTTCCTTTTGTTTTAAATTTTATAGACATTTCCAGAAACGCAGTTGATAAAAATTATTTAATCGTTTAATGCTTTATATGCAAGTTTTTTTTTTCCGTTGTAATTGTCACAGTCTAGTTAAATTTTGCAATTATCATTTGTATGTTGTAATAAAGGGGAAGGAAATAAGCACCGCCTTCAAATACCTCTTCTCTGTGAACCCTTGTCAATCATTTGAAATTAAACCTGGTTTTGGATACTAGAAATTGATTAATATTGATATCAAATTGATGAACACTTAGTTATCAGTGGTTGTGTATATTTTGTATACCTTGTCTGGTGATCAAAACACCCACTGAATTAAGGTTCGGTCTTTTGATGCCTACCGCATTTATGCAAACGTGATAAAGAAGGAGTTATTTTTGACTACGTGCTGTAGATCACTAAAATTTCTGCCACATCTTATTTTCGCGAGATAGCTATTTAGTATTTATTAGCGAGACAAAATTTTCGCGAGCTACGCTTTTTGTTGTTTATGATTCTTAACAAATATTAGAAAGAATAAAATTGTCGCGAGCAGACAGACCCGAGAAATTACGCAAAAATAAAGTTCCAATACTTTGGTCGTTGGCAGTTTAATTCAAGTCGGCGTTACATTTGGATAAATGCTTTCAAATTCTAAAGTTGCCAAGCTTTGTCTTAAGGCTTGCAAAGTTAAAGATTTCCCTATGTGCCATTGACAATCATAAATAGAGAAGTCAGTATATCATGTATATGGCTCTACGTTATGTTGGGTATTAAGATTACACAATGTATTTGGCTTCTGATGAAATTTTTATGTACTGTAGAATAACATATTTTCGTAGGGTCAATGTTTGGTCGTTGCGTTGCATACGTAATACAAGCATGCAGCATGTCCTGTGGCCGTTTGTGTTCGCAACTTCTTCTTAACTTGTTACACAGATTTACTTTTAACCAATACAAGTATGCGTTACCGTTATGCAATCCTCTCACTTCTCATTCCTGACATACACAAAATATATAAGAAATAACAGATTTTAGTTTGTAGTGTTTAACAGATAATGTGTAAACGTAGAAATGTAACGTGTTAAGGGGTCCGTACCTGGTCGATTCCAGAATTGCTGGTTTGGATTGCTATAACAACTAAATATTTTTCCTCTTAAAATGATTGTATGAAATGAGTGGCCTGCAAGTATATGCAGATATGGCCCTTCCCTTTCTTCGGGGAAAGTCACAATTGATGGTAGGCCTATTATTTAAAAAAGAAAGTGGGGGTTCATAGGACAGATACCAGTTTTGCCTTATTCAGGCTCGTAGTGCCAGTCACGATGTCAAGTCCTAACTTATACACTAGTGGTCAGCATCTGAAAACAGAAGATACACTGAGTTGTCCTTATTCAAGACAAACAATCATCAACTGCCACCAGAGACTTTGATCGTGTCCCTGAAGGTTTCCAGGCAAGCTTCTGAGAGGTTGCCCTCCTTCTATGGTCACCCTCTAAATGGTTAGTCTCGATAACATAATACTATTAATTCATTGTGGCAAGCCTTCAACGTCAGGCAATCTACCTAGTATTGCTAAAATTGTGGTGAGCCTCAATATTAGCCCATCAACGCAACTAACCTTATGTCCAAAAATACTTTTCTTCTTTCTGCTGCCGTCACGGTGGCTCAGTCAAAACTTCAATTGAAACGAAAGACCTTAATAACACACTCGTAATAAAGAATAGGTCATAGGAAAATTAAAATTATCAGGAACCAAATTGAATTTAAAAAAAGCCAAATTTACTGCATATTGATTATATATATATATTGTATGCACGAATGATTAAAAAAAATGATGCTTATAGAACTGTTGGTATAGAACCAAAATATAAAATATGAATGCTCCATTGAATTTTTCTTTGAGCATCTGCTTTGAAAACGAAAAGAGAGTTATCTAAATAGGATATTATCATTTCTTTGGACTAAGACTATCACAATAGAGGGGGAATGCAATGACATAGAGACAATTGAGTCAAACGCGGAGAGAATAAAAAGAATAAAAGAGGAAGAAGTATTTTAAAAAAGTAATAAGGGTACAGTGTACATGTATTTTGCACATTTTCCTTGATTTAAACCATGGATATATCTATAGTTCTCTTCGTAAAATTTATCATGCAAAATTAATCATACATTTATTTGTTTCAAAGGATGATATGGATCCATAATAGTGAATTGATAAATAACTGGGTGTTTATTGCGGTATCATCAGATAGAGAGGTCAGTGCTTCTCAGATTAAAATTAAAGGAGATGGTTATCAGTCAGGAAACATCTAAAGAGTCATGTTAACTTCCCGTGTAATACCAAAAACTATTTTCTTAATATGGATTTTATTGGGGAATTTCTTTTTCTGTTCTGGCAGTCTTGAGAGTAGCTATTCCAAACTGCAATATGGATATAGACTAGACAGAAGGATGATAGACTCCTTCACAGATTACAGTATTTTGGATTGTGTGGAAGAATGTCTGAGGAGAAAGAGATGTAAATCTATAAGTTATTATCAAGGAGCACATTATTGTGAAACTAACTATGAGAACAGAAGGGGAGCATCATCAATGTATATACAAGATTCTGGTTGGATCTACAGTGACATAGAGGATTGGGACAAAGTAAGGGTTACTATGAAGGATTATAATGTACATACCTTATAAAATCATAGCGATATTATTGTTTTGTTTGTTTGTTTATTGTTTAACGTCCCTCTCGAGAATTTTTCACTCATATGGAGACGCCACCACTTGCTGGTGGAGAGCTACAAATTTTGACCTATACTCGGCACTCAGGGCCATTGAGCAGTGAGGAATCTTTATCGTGCCAACACTTACTGCGACACGGGACCTCGGTTTATACGGTCTCATCCGAAGGACCGGTCTCCACGTCCCACAGTGGGATTCGAACCCGCGACGTAAAGATCAACTCCTTACTCCGCGACTCTAGAGTAAACGCTCTAACCACTGCGACACGCGGGCGACGCGATATTATTGTATGCCGTTAAAACAGAATTGAGGCCCATCTTCATCTCTTTTATTCTAATATCGTAGTATCTGGTAATTACATTTAATATTCTATTTTTTCTTTACTTACATGTACATTATTCAAAAGAATGTACGATGTTAAAGTGAAATTCAAGTTCTCGCCGCTATATATTCTTTCATAGAGCATACATTTCAGTTGTTTTAATTATCAATCCAAATACTTAACCCCCCCCCCCTTCCCTCCAAAAATAACTCGACTTTAGTATTATTTCGTATATTAAGTATATCAAGTCGATTGACATAAACTGTCCTTAAATACTTTTTACCCAAAAAGTTAAATATTTGAAGTTATGTAATGACATATATTGACGAAGTTTGTCTATTTCCATAGGAAATAATTGGAGCTTGTTCAAATGCAAACTGCAGAGAAAACGAGAAATGCAATCATCTTTCATTGGGAGAGTTTAAGTGTGTTTTGTCAGGTAAGAACTGCAAATAAATGTCTGATCTATTTCTTAAAAACTACGTTTGGTGAGGCTGTAAATGACGTCAGAAATGATTTTTTTTACAATCCAATCAAAATAAGACAAAAATGTGCCTTTTTCTTGACGTTTTTCTTATGGGGAAACATAGAGCGCAGCTTAGAACATACAAAATTTTTCTGTCAGTAATTAGTCTTGGATAGATACATCTTTGGTAAAAATATAAAGTTTGTTCAAGTTTGCGCTCAATATTTTCTGCAAGAAAAACTACATGAAAATAAGCATTTTTATACAAAATATGCTAAAATGGCAGGAAAAGGTGAACTTAATTATGTCATATTTCTAAATTAACAGTATTTTGATCAAATTAAAAATTACAAATAAAGATCACGTGTATAGCTGTGCAAAGTAAAGCTATATATAAAGTAAGATTAAGATATTAATTTTAAGTGGCCATTCAAGGATGTACAACACACCTATACCCCAAAAATTTCCTGTCGTTTAATTTTCGCTATTTTTGTATATCTTATACATGACCATATCTACTATGTGTATGTACATTTTGGTCAAAATCGTTCGAGCCGAATTTGGACAGGAAGTTCCTAAAGTTACCCCCATTTGGCTGATCACGAGTACAAAAAAATCAACAAACTAACTATAAAATCCCTTATTTTAAAATATTTAAGGTTAGCCTACATGTAGCTGTCAAAATTTGCTGAATCATTCGTTTAACTATTAAACACACAAACAAAGTGAATTTGCAGAGGTACACTTCGAGAAAAAACGATTTTGAAGAATTTAAACTGAAAAGCTATGGTTCATTTTTGCATTGAAAAATGCGTGATTTACAAATGAAATATTTTTTTATGAAAAAATCTGTTTAATTTTGAAAAAAATTATTACTTCTTGTAACTGATGATCAAAATGTTCTTGATAATTTTTTGAAAATTTTTTAAACGACGCGTTTTGAATTTATAGCGGAAAATATACCCCCCCCCCCCCTTCTCTCCGTAAGTTACATTTCTCACAGCGTCTTTCAGACTTGGGACGAAAACAGTGCTATGATTCTACAAATACAAATAAAAATTCCTAGCTGGAAAGTATATGTTACTTAAAAAATGTAATGTACATTATATTTATCACAAATATAAAATTTTACATCTGCATTTAAATGAAGATGAATAAGCAATTTCTGCAATTTTAAGACCCCCCCCCCCCTCCATTCTTCTCTGCAATGCAGGACATTCGAGCTTGAAAAAAAAATCGGTTACGTCTGCTTGATAAATATAATTGGCATATTTAACTCCTAAAGTACGCGGGTATGTTAAGGCTACACCCAGAGATATACTACTTGCCTCTACAATATGACGTCATAGTAAGCTGTATGACGTGAAGTTTAGAAATAATGATTCCTTAATATCTATATTTAAAGTTTAATTTCAGGTCCTAGAAATGAATGGAATCATTCAAAAACATAAAATAAACAAAATAATGTCGTTTTTGGGTGGTATAAACAGCTAAGTATTTATCACGGGGGTAAAATACCAAACCCATGACGTCATAACTATTGATCAAAATTTGCCGAGTGAAAATTAAACGGGACGAGAATTCATGTAAACAAATATGTAAAACGGGAGTTTTAAAGCATATACCGTGAATGTTATGTGTGATTCATTAGGAATTAAAGATTAAGAATCAGGTACGCTGATATATTCAAATGATGTTTTCTTATAATGAACACAGGCAGTGCTTTAAAATCCCGATCAGCCTTTCCTCTGTCGTTCTATAACAACAAAGTTGCAAAAGTTCAACACTACGCCGCATACTTTGAGACATAATTTTTGTTTGTATCGAAAGCTTGTATTCTATAGTTCTTGGAAAGTGCTGTTAGAATCGTGTGATTAACATGAATTGATGACAATTCCTTGATCGTTTGTACAAAATGTAATAATTTTGGTAAGGTTTCATGAGAAACTTTGGAATATTTTTTTCTGTGTCGGGAGAGTAGGATTCTAGCAGCACTTTTCATGACCCAGTGATATTTTTACATAATTATTTTCACAAAAAGAATTGAACTATCCCCGGGATAGTGTTGAACATTTTACTTTTTCATTAAGGCAATTTTTCTATTTATAGACGTCACGTGATGACGTCGTAGTGGAGTGCTTCTTTTAACCTAAACCTCAATGACGTCTATACAATGGATAATAATAGTAAATGTTTTATCTATGGTTTTTCCGATTTATCAATGTTACATTTTACGAAAAAAGTCTAAATTCGCCGAAATTTGATCTGGGTACTGCCTTAACATACCTGCGTAATGTCCTTCATTCGTGTATACAGATTAGTTATTGACTACTAATATTTTTTGTTATTCTAAATACTATTTTTTTTGTATTTACATTTAGTAAAACCATTTTTCTAAGGATTTTATGACCACGTGTCCGGTTTGGAGTTCATGCACACAGGTGCAGTTTCAAACCTTTATATGACCTACTTGCATTGGATATTATTTTTAAGTGAACGAACAGTGGTGTATGTACACTTCTCTTGTGATGAAAATGGAATATATGCACATTTAGGTTTTAAATTATTTCTGTTTTCAAAAGAGGGGTGCCCCCCCCCCCCCCCGGATATTGTATCCTCCTGTTGTTTCAATGAATGGAAATGATGTATTCGTCCATGTTAATTTCAATCGTACCAAATTGTAAATTATTTATCAGTATTAAAATTATTCATGTTAATCATCTACAATGGTATCATCTACATTGGTATCAATCGTTTTGTTCTTATTCGCGGAAATGCGAACTGATACTGTTTACAGTAAAAGATTTTCTCAGTGGGATGCAACCGTTGAATTAATTTCAGTAAATAATTTTAAACTGTTGATACTTACTTTAATTTGTATAAACTTTGGCTTTCAGTTCTTGTGTTCCTTGCAACACACTGTAAAATTTTTAATGTATCTGTGTAATTGTGAGGGAAAAAACTCATAATTCTTCGAAAAACAGGAGGAATAACTCAGCTAAGGGGAGGAAAGACATACACCTCCACATTTTTAGAGTTGTTTCTCTTTGATCAGTGACCTTCTGAAAACGGTTACTCTTTTTCATTTTTTTTTTTCAAAGAAAAGAAAAGAAAGAAAATGTTTATTTTCGTAATATGATAATATTTAAACATACCGGTAATATTTATTCTCAATGTTATGCGACCGATTGTAACGGGAAAAAGCAGAGTAGAGTACCATTAACATTTTTAGATTAAAAAAATGCCTTAGTGTATATCATAAATACAATATTAAAGAATTAATTAACTAAATTTAAATTAAAGAAGTTTAGGGAACCTGTCCTTTTTTTCTTTTTTATGGAGGGGGGAGATTTATTGCAATTGCGCAAATGATCAAGAATAGGATTTGGTATTCCTATAGAAACCACAATAAAAAACCTCTATTCTATTTTTTTTTTTTTACATTAATTACATCGGGATCGTATCGCTCGTCATTTTGACGCTTCGTAATGAACGTCAAATTTAACGTTATGTTAACGAGGTTCGCTCCTGAGCTTTTGAGCAAATTTTTTATCTTAAGCTATATTTCAAAATTTCTGCATAATGTTTTAATTCTTACAATAAATTTGGATTCTACAATGCTAATTTAACTATATTCAGTTAAAACTCCATGATTAAATTCCATACTAAAAGCATTAAGTGAGGAACTATATTTTGTGGCGGAAGGTTTTTTTTAGAAGAAAATGATCATTTTTTCTCTTTCGAAGTATTTAAAGTCTGCTAAGTTTGGATTCCTATTTTTACATGAAGTCTGCACACATAGTTATTTTGTGCAGTGGACTGTTTTATATTGGTCCTAAATTATCTATTAAATAAACTGTCATGAATTCTATCATCATATATGATAAATATAGTAAAGATATTGTGAACATAAAAAAAAAGCTCTAACTTAAGCTTAAAATTAGCACTGTTTTAGTAATATCTAAAAATTAACATCACAGACCCCCACTTTTGATTTTCTTTTCTGAATATATACGATACCTTTAACCATTCTTCTTAAATTCAGTAAAATGTCATTACTTTCAAATGATTTTTTTGCTTGTTAAATTTTTAATGCCAGAAAAATGAAAATGTTTGAGTGCAAAAAGGTCAAATATTTGAACATGCGGAGTACTTTGAAAATTTCTTAATTGTCACAAATTTTAATGTTTCTATTTAAGATGAAATGAGACTGTTTTTGTCCCCATTATTTATTTGAACAAAAATTATTGGAGTAGAAACCTTAAAAATTGATTTATATGTAAGACGTACTTACAGTGCAAAAAAGGTCAAACAAAATGCTCTGTAGCGCCAAAAGAAGCGCATTGACCCCCATTTTTGTTTTGATTTTTGATAAAGCTATGTGTATAAGTTCTAAAAATATACTTGATGAAAAATTCTCATTACTTTTCATGGGAGGATCCAACCTCCTTAAACTTTTTATTGAAATCGCAAGAGTTATCTCCCCCAGTGTGTTGTACGTCTATAAGACATCATATATTGCTCTTTTCAGCAAATGTTTTTTTTTTTATCCTATTTGAGTACAAATTACGTACAACTTCCTTTTTTATAATATAGACAAAAATAAGGATTTTATCGTATTTAAATGTGCACAGGGTATGGTCTTACGGCACACGACCAAAAAAAGCACAACACAGGAAGAATGACGTTACGGCACACCGGAGAGCAGTTTAGTTTGAATAAAGGGGAATTAGAGTGTGTGCGTTAGTGAAATTCCCGAATTTACGTGGGGTTATCCAAGTTTTTGTTTTAGCATGGATGAATCCTGACGTTACTTTAGACACTTTGACGTTATCGTTCGTGACCCGTATGGTGATATCACACAACATAAAACCCCATATTTTATTTATTTAAGCATCTCAGTTTGAAATTAACTATGTATATTGATATGTACTAATGCGAAGTGAAAATTCTAGAACTCACAGTTGATTATTTTTCACTCTAGACAATTTGTTTATGATTTCACCGGACAATCCTCGTATATAATAATAATAATAATAATAACAATAATAATAACAATATATATATATATATATATATATATATATATATATATATATATATATATATATATATATATATATATATATATATATATATATATATATATATATAATTACATTTCTTTCGAATTCGGTTGCTACCATTGCAGATAAAAATTACAAAGCCCGGTTCCGCGGTTTATTTATCTTTTCTGCATTAGTTGCAACCGTTAAAATCCACATAAACAAAGAAAGGATTTTACTTTCTAAATTAATAATTATCACATAAGTATCAACGAATGGTATTTTGCAGACTGTGGAGTTCCTAGAAGTGAGAATATAAGCTTTGATGCCGTAGAAAGATGGGATGGAATTGGAATATATAGACGAATACATCTTAAATGTGCTGAGAACTACAGACAAACTGGATCACAACAGTTTATCTGCCAATCGAACGGAAAATGGAAGACTGATTTAAACTGTGAAAGCGGTATGTTGTTAGAATGCCTTGTTTATTCATTATTGAAGACTCCATAGAAAAATTTTTTTGGCTCACTCAGGAACAGACACTTTTACATAAACCCTATAGATTATATTTGATTGATTAACTCTAAGCCATTATTGACTCAGCGCTGGTAAATTGACTGTCTACAGTTCATAGATTACACACTTTTGCCTTTACGATGTAGTGTACAATTTGATTATTTTCAATGAGAAGGTTATAACTTGGAGGTATAAACAACTATTGCACCCCTTTCATGGTACTCGCGATCTATTTTCTTTAGCTGTACTTACTTTTTTCCTCAGCATAGAGACTTTGCCTATTGCTTGAAAGATCAATACATCAATTCTGATAACTGTGTGCAATATGAATTGGAAATCTCTCTCGGGGACACAGTAATGCATATATCCTTAAAGAAGAAATATTATTTTCCCTATAAATCTTCTTTCGATAGATGCAAAATATTCGACAAACTTTTTAAGCTAAGAAATAAATGTACAGCTAGGTGAGACTTTTCTTCTATATTTTCAGCCTGTCCTAAAGATTGGGATGAATTTGACGGCCATTGTTATTTTTATGGTGAAGAAAACCTTTCATGGCATGATGCCAAGGTATATGAATAAACGACCCAACGATATCATAAAAGAGCGTTATTATTTTTATTTAATTAAATATTTATTAACATGTTGATTTCAAGTCAGATTTCTTATTGATTTGATGAAATATTGATCTGGTGTATCGAAAAGAAAAATCAAGTTTTCCTTGCTAATTCTATTTTTTGGCTTTCAGTTTTTAAAAGAAAAAAAATAGTAAAATACTTCTGTTAACAATGTTAAAGCGTCATGTCTTTAAATAAATCTTTTTCTTTATTATAAAACAGGATGTTTTATCTTCGATTTAGTTAAATTTGCAGCTAAATGTCGCAGAATATTCTGTTCAATTCAAAAAGTTCATCTGAATGTCGCATATATTCATTCAATTCAGTGTATTCCCGTCATTCCTTTGGATAAGTAAACATCATGTGGCTTAACAAGCACAGAATTATTTCCCAAAAATTGAACATGAAATGTCATCTAATACTTTTCATTTATACATGTATATTGAAAATCATGTTTGAAGATGAACTAATAATGAAAGTCATAAACACAAATATTATTAACATTAACATATACATGTAGATCTCATCTCCATAAAAAAATGTTGATATATCTTATATACATGCATAATGTCTCATTTAAATATTCATATAAATGAAAGACATTGATAAACTTTGACTAGGATTTAAGAGCTGTTTCAAAATGCTGACCTATAAGGATGCTATCCGATACACTGCATGCATCCTTTATATCTATACATGTACATCTTCAATTCTGAACATGTTTGAATTTCTGTCAATTACATAATTACAAATAATTAAAATGACACTGTGATAGAGTAGGAATTGATCAGCATATCCTGTTTTTTTTTTAATCATCTGTCATCTGTATTTCATTAGAAAGACTTTCTCATGCACCCTATTCAACGATGAAAGAACTCTATCAGCTTGCAATAAACGCTTAAACTTCATCATCAAGAATGAAAAAAAAAACACGCCAATTCTGTAATTTTTCCTTCTATGAAACAATGCACCCTCGCAAACCCTGAGTCTACTTTCTGGGTCCGCTTCTGAAATTGGCATTCACTTTTGGCGTTCGCTTTGGATCCGCCCAGGGTGCACTTTAGATGCCTCTGGAATCGCTCGGCGTCAGCTTTGGCGTACCCCGAGCGAACCCGGAAAGCGAACCTGGAGTTAATATTCTTTCATAGAAAGATATTATGAAATATTTCAGAGAAAATGTGAAAGTGAAGAAGCTGGAGCTTATTTAGTAGAAGTGAAAGATAAAAGAGAAAATGAATATCTTGTCGAGACTTTCCATAATACTTTTGAAAAAAGTGAGTGAATTTTGCGTTTATTTACATGTTGTGTTTTTGTTTCAGTCGTATAGTATACAGTTATGGAATGGGTATGAGGGAAATAGCAAATTTATGGTTCCCCAAGGGAGGAAATAGTTTCCTGCCGAGGGGAACCATAAATTTGATATTTCCCGAGTACCCATTCAATAAGTGTTTTATTATGCCGAAGAATCATGTGAGATTTATTTTTATTAATAAATATTCATGAGGGAGTAGTCCCAGGCAGTAACTCCGATTTTTCAGGGAGTAGTCCACAGATGAGGGAAATAGTATCTTTTCAGGGAAATAGACAGCTTTATGGTATTAATTTTATATAGAGTAATAACAGTAGAGGTAAAATAATATTTCCTAGCTATGTAAGACACAGAAAAATATATAAAAATGCCCTTTATGCTGTCTCTTTGTGTGGAATTTATGAATAAAAGATCACTTATAAATCCATTCGATATATTTTCAAAGAGAGAATACCATACTATGAAGCTGTTTGAGCTTAATACTTTTAGATACGCATTGAAATATTTTATATCATTTCGAGTTTCAAACTGAGTAAAGTGTAAAGTTACTAATATTACATTGTTTAGTAGAATTGAATTCACGATACCTGGATTGTTCTTAATAGGGCCTAGACACAGACTTGAAGTTAATATTTTCTAAAATTTTCAGTATGATATAATGATTTAGAAACTTTTTCATCTGGAAATTGTTAAAACTACGAATACGCGTTTGATTGACACTCAACCTTGCACTTTTACGAAGTAAATTATATCCTTAATATTGAAGAAAAATGGAAAATGTTTTGAGTATTAATGAAAAATATTAAAAATATAATCAAGAAAATTCAGAGGAGAAAGATGAGAAAGCAAAACGAACTCACTAGTATTGTCAGTCCGTGCTCAGTGATGTGTGCAGAGTAAACAAGTTGAACACACCCGGTAAAACGTAAACATTAATAATAACAGAGTTCTTGCCTGTGTTTACATCACAGATGTTTGACGTGTTGTTATAAAGAATCTTTTAGTCATTGAATTTTAAGAATTTCCATGCAACTTCAATTCATTAAACTGATGTTATTTTTTGAATAAAAAAAAAAATAGATTTAAAATTGTAAACAAAAACGGCAATGCAACTGTGTCCAGGTCCCTCCAAAAATTTTAAAATGCCAGATTAAACAATGTTTGATTCCTCCCCGTTATCTACGTATAGGACCTTGTACTGGTAGCTACCCCTGTCCTGTGTGGACCGGCGCTAATGACATTGATACGGAGGGTGTATTCACCTGGAGTCGATCGAAAAATAAGGTGATATACTCAAACTGGTATCCTCCTGAACCCAACAACATCGGCAATCAGGACTGTGTTACTTTCCTGCGAACAGGTTTTTGGGACGATGAACATTGTAATAAAAAAATACCATTCATTTGTGAAAAGGATTAATATATGTATTTATGAAAACAATTGTACTTTTCTTAATCTTAGCCGATGTTTAAATCCATTTGTAAACTTTAAAAATGTTTGCATGTACATGTTTCACTTTCTGTCAGAATGTTTTTTCCCATATAATTACCTGACATTTACATGTTCAAAGATCACAGTATTATACCAAAGCTTGCTTGAAACACATTATTTATTGTGATTGTTAAACTTAAAACTCATTTCGAAAGATATAATTGAAGATATCGATTATTAATAAGTTTATAGCAGAACTTCATGCTATGTTTGACTTTATAACGTTATTTGCTTTTACGTTTGAATATAAAGAAATGTAAACTTTAAAATCTTCAGAAAAATAATGAAAAGAATGAGTAAATTAGCTACCAGAGTCTATATTATTGAGAAATACAGGTTACTAGTCTTAGAATATCATTTCTGGATAAATATATCGGCGATATTGTCCACGTAAAAGAATATGATTTTTTCGGTTGCCAATCAGAATACTCCTCATACTAGTAATTGAATTTCTTAATATTTCCTCTATTTTTTTTGTTTTAGCATTTTGCAGTATGTTCCCTTATTTTAAGGAATAGATTCAAATAAAAGCTAGACACTGAGGAATCTTAGTCACTCTTGTGTCAAACTTTGGTTTGGTAAGTTATTTATCGAAAATTCTTCTTTACCCCCATTTTTTTTTTAATCTTTTCTATATCGCTTTTAGTTTCCCTAATTATGAATATTATTAATTACCTGAGTAATTCTCAAGACGAGAGATTTTTTTTAGAATTCTCAAACTTTTATGGCTGCGGGGCCTGCTCAAATTCACATGAGATAAATGCATATTTTAAAACTAGAACCTGATTCAAAATAAAAACAATATATCGAGCAATACTGGTCACTGTGAGTACAAGACTGCATCAAATAAGGCATCTTTTCTTTATATTAATTTTTTGGGTTATACAGTCGGTAGATACAAGTGAATTTACCGTACAGACATTTAAAAAAAATAATAAAAGAAAGCCCATTCTATTACAAATAGAATTTTTATACAATGTCTTTCTGAATAATCTATTCAATAAAAGGCTTCATAATCTGTTATAATCCAAATATAAAGTATGCATGATCTAAGTAATTGATTTTGCAATATAGTTGTTCCTCGTTTTGCCTATATCTCATCGCATCCAGCATTAAGAATGTGACAATTTTCACTGAGAAGGATATTTTCCTGCTGTGGACTATAGCGATGATTATACATAAATTGCAATGACGTAGGGGTAACTGATTAATACATGGTAACGATTTTTGAATTATTCAAAAATGATACACATACTGGTCTTTAGCATGTCTCTATTGATACACATCAACTGTGTGTCCAATGTTATCCTTAGATCACATGAATTTTTTATTAGTATCTTTTTTTGGAAATTGACAACGTTGCTTTCTGCAATTGACATGATAACTGTCGGATTTTTAATAGTATTTAATAAATCTAAAGAGATGAAATCCTCTCAAATATAAGGAGACAACGAACAAAGGAAAACACATCGAAGATTTCCTTTTTATTTCCAAAAATAATTTACAGATTAGTAATATTTTTAGCATTATATTATATTGCTTTGGAAGTCTAAAGACCAGTTATTCCAAGCTGCAGTATGGTCTTAGACTAGACAGAAGGGCGATCGACTACTTCACAGATTATAGTATTATGGACTGTGTTGAAGAATGTCTGAGTAGAAAGAGGTGCAAGTCTATTATCAAGGAGCACGTTATGGTGAAGTTTACTATAAGAGCAGGAACGAAGCATCTTCGATGTATGTACAAAATTCTGGTTAGCTTTACAGCGACACAATGATTGGGACAAAATAAGACTTAGCTTACAATTAGGTTTTTATGTACAAAGCGCCATTATAATCTTAACGGAGGTACGCCTTCAAAAATATAAATTTAAATTCAAAGCATATTATTTCTTTCTCATTCTTAAAAATTAAATGGAAATATGAAAAGGAAGAAGAATGTGTAACAAATTTATTGATGTATGCATATTTCATGTTTTATATTATTTAGATGAATAATCACGCGAAGCTTAAGCGAGATGAGGCGGATGACGAGAAAAGAGTTCAAAGCCTTCTCTCTTTTTATATATCAGTCGAAAACGATATATTTAAAAACAGCTTATAGAGACAAAAGGGTTACATTATCGATAACATGTAGTACATATTAGAATGCTAAAATATGAAAAAGATGTGTTTCAGATTTAGAAAGACAAAAATGGAAAGGGGGAGTGGGGTTCCAGCCCACAAGTGCGTGTGGTTGTACTCTGTTTCTTTTTACTCCTTAATTTAACATTATTTCAATCCTTTTACGTCGTTGTAGGAATTATATTGAAAGACTGCTAAAATTTAATATTTACATTTGCAAATGTTTTCCCTTATATAACATTACTCTGAGCAATACGTATCTATAACTGTATAAATACCTATACGGGGTCAACAGAGGTCATGGATGTGCGTATGAATATTTATGAAAACTAGGTTAACGGCACTATTTTTACTAAGGCAATACACATTTATCGATCGCTTCCGCTTATTGCAGAAGTCTAAAAATAGATATAACCAACATCACAAATTGTATTTATCGTTTTATTTGTATTCCAAGCAGTGGACTCAATCAATAATAAAACATTTCTGCAAAACAATGTCTTATTCATGTATGTCTAAATTTTCGTCTGCTACACTGACCCCAGGTCACTCTAATGTAAACAATGGCTGAATTTGGCAACTTTGATATGGGTGACGCAGAAATGTACCTTCTGCTAGACGATGACATATTTGCATCACTAGATCTTTCCTTTATGGCACCTCTGAGTGTTGAGGTAACTAATGAAATGGAGAAAGAGCTGAAAGTATCAGATATGGAGGGTCTGCCATGTCCTGGTGTGCCTGTTCATACACCCCCACCAGCAAAGAGATTCAAATCTATCTCCGAAAATGAAATGCAGAACTTTCAGGATGCAAGGCAATCTGTATCTACAAAAAGAAACACAAAATGGGGAATCAAGTTGTTTCAAGGTACATTTCACAAGTCAAATCATATTATTGTCAATATTTTAGCTGGTTTGCTGTTTATTTGATCACATTGAGCACAAAATCATGAGTAAAATATGAAATATAATAGTTAAACCAATAACCATTTAGTAAAAGTTTACAACAAAGAAAAGTTGATCCATGATGATTATGATATGTCCGTGTAAGAGAGGCAAGTACATGTTCTATTGTATATTATCTATATGTACAATGAACAGACACACTCACCACCAACAAAGACACACGTGTAAAATACTATACCTAGAGTAGACCAATATGCACAACAAGTGCACAACAAATAACTTGTATGAAATACATGTATCCAATAACAATGCAAACTGCACTAAAAATTTCTCAAAATATTAATAAAATTTGAATCAAATGACATGCAAAAACTTGAGGAAAATTGTTAAAAAAGTAAATAAATAAAACACTGATAAAATAAAAAATTCAAACACTGCAAGAAATATTTCC